TGGCGGTGGTGGCTGTGGTTGTGCGGGCTCGGGGTTTGGAGGGCCGGGGTGGGAAGGTGCGAGGCAGGCCTTGGGGCTGGTCCCGCCTGCTGCCTGCCCTCCCCTCGCCCCCACGGGCTTTGTGTTGCCTCTTCTCATCGCTAACGGAGACTTCCCTTTGTCGGAGTGCAGGGTGACTTGTGAGGAATTGCCTTTACCGGAGCCTGGACCTGTTTGGCTTGGTTTTGTTTGGGGTTTTTTTGTGGCCTAGCAAGAAGCGGTTTCCTTCCCTGAACTTTTGGCATCTTCTTGCCTGGATTCAGTCATTCCCAAAAGAATGGAGGAATGCAGCTGATAAGTCCTTAACCACCCTGTGCTCCCATAGTCAGCACCAAAAGCTGGCTTCATCTTCTCCAATTTGGCACTTTGGGGGAGGCTTCTTTTTGTTACCTGCTCTGGGTACCTTTTTAGTGGCACTATAGACCAAAAGAGATGGAAGAAAAGGAGCGATGTGATAAATTCCAGCTGGTACCTCGAGACTAAGAGGATTCCTATCTTTTGATTATTTTTTTTTCTGTGGGGGAGGGAGGGAAGTATTGCATTTTATGGGGTATGGGAGGAGGGAGGAAAAATATGTTGCAGATCTTTATGTGGTTTTTAAAACCAGCCATCAGAGGCAATTACTGAATAAACTGAATCACAAGAGAAGGTTTTGTGAGCGGGAAGTAGCACTAGCCTACAAAAGAAAGGGACAGTGGGCTGCTGTTGTGACTGTGGAGGAAGAAACTTCAGCCTCCTTCGTTTCTCACCACCTACTCTCCATCCACCCTGCGAGAAAATGAGTTGTGTGCCATGGAAAGGTGACAAGACCAAATCGGAATCACCAGAGCCACCCCAGCTACCACCGGTGCATATTTACCATGAGAAGCAGCGTAGGGAGCTGTGTGCCCTCCATGCCCTCAACAATGTCTTCCAGGACAGCAACGCTTTCACTAGGGAAACCTTGCAGGAGATTTTTCAGAGGTAGGATACTCTCTGCACTGGTGTTAGCTTCCCCTTGTCCTCTATTGCTCAGAGGAATTTTCAGATCTTATTTTGAGGGGAGGAGGGGGGGAATAGAGCAAAGGAGGGGTTCAGGGGTTCAAAGTGTGCCACTGCTTTGAACTTACTGTAGGTTCTTTTTTAAACACCCTCCCCTCCCTTTTTTTTTTCCCTCTCTTGATGCAAAAATTCTCTCCCTTTTTACTTGTTTCTTAAACTATTCTGTCTGCCAATTTTAGGTCCAAGGGCTTTATTGCAGATGCTGTTGTGTGGTTGGACTGCTGTCTTCTCCCCCACCCACCTTAATGCATCTTCTACCCGTCTCCCATATTTTTGCCCCTGCCTTGTGTAGATATGTTATCTTGATGTTAGTAATGGATTTTGAGGTTGGCTTGGGAGAGTGAAGGTGGCAGGAATAACAAATGGGTCATCATAAAAACTTCTTGATTTAGTACTGCAACACTTCTGAGATTTTTTGGAAATTAGGAGTGATTCCTTATTCAAGTGGTTAAGCGAAGTTCTTCATATACTGTGTTGTTTTTTTTCCATGCAGTGAGACCCTATGTACTCTGTCAAACTGGAATTAATTTCAGTAGCTAGATCTCCATTTTCTGTAGCATCGCTGAATGTTTCCCAGCAGCTTCAGAGAATTAATAAAAACATTTTTGAGTTTTACTGGGATAAATGTAAATTATTAATGTGGCCTGTACAATAGCTCATATTTTGCTAAATGTTTACGTTATGCTGTTTCAACGCTTTGTGGAAATTCTTCTGAGCATGCCTTTGAAAATTGTGATGACCTTCCGTTGGTGAAGCTAACTAATCAAACAGGAAAAGGGGTCTTTTCTGATACTCAGTCTGTAGATGTTGTACTCGTCACATAGGCTGTGCTTGAATACCCATTACCAGCAGTTGATGGCAACTTGTGTTTGTGACAGGTAGGCAATCATGCTTTGTGACAGTGGTCACGCAGGTACTGTTGGATAAGGCAGTTGCGGTGCCCTGTGCTGATGAACAGGGAGCTGCGTGCCTGTTGCTGCTGTCTTGAAAATCGGCAGATTTAAGGAACTGATGCTTGATTTGTCAAACACATGCCTGTCTGTCGTTGGCAAAAGAAATGTGGTGATGGACAACAGCAAATATCAGATTATCATTAACAGCATTTCAATATTGTAAGTAAAATTCCTATTGGTGAAGGGGATCTGGTCCATGGAAGGCTCAAGGCACTCTTTGTCTGGTGTAAAGACGCTATGGTTTTGTTCCAGAGCAGCAATTGTCAGAATCTTAATCACAGATGGATTGCTATTGGCCTGAAGCAAACAAAGGCAGTTCATGTGGTAGAAGGAGTGTGATGATCTAATTAGTTGGCTTTCATTGGGTTTGGTGAAAGAGAATTAGTGTGCAGCATGAAACCTCTCAGAAAGAGCTGGGATGTTAATCTTGCTGGACCTCTTGCCCTAGAAGGGAGAATTTGTCTTTGATTCCAACCTGGTTTTGTTCCATCCTAATATTTGGACCAAGGTACACAGATTGATTCAGCCCCATGGTAGTATGGAAATAAACATGGATATTCCTCTCAGAAATGGATGAGCTGTAAGCTATGCATAACAATTGCCGCTACCTTTGCATCTCCGTTGGGTTACTACTCATGCCTAGCTCTTTGACTTGCCTTTAAGAAGTGTGGATTTAGTTGCCCTTTATACAGCACTTTTCTGTATGTCTTGCCTGTGTCTAGTCATATTCTGCGTGTTGATGACTCTGATAGAGGACTGATACATATTTTTAATAAGCTACAAAAATGTTGCGAGGTGTGATTTATTTTTTTTTAAACCTGGTGTTGACAAGGTAACGAATTTCACAAACAAGCTTAAGCTTTCTGTAGCTTTTAGCACATCTCTTGAAGAATAATTGAACTACATTGCTTAATCATTGGTTTCCCTTTTGCTGCATCCCATTGCATTAGGCCAGCGTAGTCTGATGATTATCATCTCAAGTTTATGGCAAAACATGGCCCAGCCTCCCCTCTGGTTTTGTAGTTCTTCCTCTCTTCTTTCCTCTAATACAAGAAATAGCTTTTTGATGTTCCTCTGGCTTTTGTTGCAGGAAGTAAGATTACATGTTCCAAATGTTGCATGGAGGTACAAACAAAACCTCTTTGTTTCACTAGAGTCTGTGTATTGAGACCTGATTAGGAAAGACAACTGCGTACGGGAATCTTGGAGCCTGTTGTGTTAAGACAACATGTTGATGAAAGTTTCTGACTTAGAAAGCTCAGGAGGATTATTACCTGGATTTCTGTCCAATTTTGTCAGTCTTCCTCAGCTTAGTGTCTAGATAAAAAAAGAATTAACTTTGGGGAGGCAACTTAATTCCTTATCTAATCGGAATCCTTTAGCTGATGATTGTGGAGCGTATTTAGGTGTGTGTGAGTAGAGATGTGTAGGTGATTCTTGGTGAAAGTTTGCTCATGGGTGTCAGTTCTCTGAGTGTGTCACCTCTGCTGATCTCTTCATCTCATTTCTGGGGCTCTGAAAGTTGCGGGAAGGAACAAAGATAAACGTGTTCTTTCAGCTTTCAAATAAGCTTGTTTCTGGAAAATGGTGCCACAAGAGGGTGCTTGTGCAACCCAAAGGGTTCTGCTAATTGGAAGGCTTTCCTAGCTTGCTGGCACTACTGAGAGTTAATAGGTTGAAGCAATGATCTTGAGGAATTAGGTGTAGCCAAGTGATCTTGCTTTATGGAGATGCTGGAAGAGCTGTGGCAAGCTACATCTCTGTGATTAGTAAAATACAGCAGAGCTTTGGAGACTGGAAAGGATGACTCCGAAAATGTCACTGCCTCGCTCGGTAATGCCCAGTGGTGGGTATTAATAGCTTTTCCTATTACCACGTTGTTTTTGGACTCTTTTCCTTAAGTCACTTCCCAGGCTGCAGTCTGCTCCACTGCAAGAAAATCACAGTTGATGGAAAAAGCTACCTGTCTGTAGCCTCTCTAGCTTTGGTTGGTCTGAAACTCCCTACTCAATCCACTGCTTCCTTCTTGTCAAATGCCTTATGTTGTCAGCAGAGGAATGCAGAAGGGCTGAGGGATTTTCACTGGATGAAATATGCCTGCAGACCTTGCACTGTGCTAAAGGCTGAGTGAAAAATGTACAGGAACATCAGGAGTTTTAAGGGATGGAGTTGACATGAGGGAGAGGCAGGTGAGACATGGATATTTAGGTGATATGAAACATCTGAACCCTGTGCCAGCAGAGCTTATGGCATCCTTACCAATCAAAAGAGCAACTCATCACAACAGAACTGATCTCAGGCTTGACTTTCTTTGATTTGGTGTTGCATGACCTTGCTGTTCTCTACTCCCATTTTCCCCCTGTGCTTGCTTTTCCAGCTGGTGAAGGCTGTCTGTTACCTTCATAATAATTCACCTCCTCATTGTTTCACCTCCTTACAAAATTTCTTAATGAAAAAGCATAAAACAATAAAAGTGACTAACTGGGGGTTTTGCCATGCATCTGCATGTTTTGTGCCTTGCATCCATTATCTGCATTTGTGCAAAGGCTGTCTTATATTTTTGTGTGCAATGTGATGGACTGTGATTCTGGATTTTTAGATGCTATGTGATGCAAGTGATGTCTAGGCAAGCTTATGGATTAAAGCTGAAGAGACTTGTTTACATCAAGGTTAGGTGTTTAGTTACCTACAGCAACAGTTTTGGGGTTTTTTTGTCCTATAGCAATGGCAATGTTTTAGAAAGCTCCCAAACCCAAATATCTTCACAGCTTTGTGTCTGAATACTTCTTTCATTTACCATTGGGGGTGGGAGAGAACAACCTTTTCTGCAGCCAACCCTTCCTGCCTATTGTTATTGCAGCCAGTTTTCAAGACTGATGTTGACTGTTGAACTCCTGAAATTGTGAGAGATGTTGTTCTAAATGGCAAACTGGCATTTACTCCAACCATGAATCAAGGGGAAAAATAATTGAAGTGTCCTTCAGAAGTACCAGTTCAAAGGTGGTGGTGGGGGGGAAGGCTTCCCGCTTTGCGGTCCCTTTCACAGTAAAGCTAGGATCTTGGGAGGCTTTGTACATCAAAGTTGTTATTAATGCACTATTTAGCCCTCTCAGCCACTCTGAGTGATAAAGGGGAACAGAATAGTTTGTGTTTAAACATAAAACCCCTGAAAATGTTCTTCAAGTTATACAGCAACTAGCCCCTTCCACTTGAGGAACACAGGTTCAGCGAACGCCTGCTGTAGCTGTCTCCTGTTCTGTTTGCAGGCTGTCTCCCAACACCATGGTGACGCCCCACAAGAAGAGCATGCTGGGAAATGGAAACTATGATGTGAATGTGATCATGGCAGCACTTCAGACCAAAGGCTATGAGGCGGTTTGGTGGGACAAGCGCAGGTACTGAGAAGTCACATAATGTTGGAGATTTGTAAAAATGAGAAAGAGATTAAGTTAAAGTACCAGAATATCATCTTATAGCTGTCTTTTCTGCACTCTTTCAGGGATGTTAACGTCATTGCCCTGTCTAACGTGATGGGCTTCATTATGAATCTGCCCTCCAGCCTTTGCTGGGGCCCACTGAAGCTCCCCCTCAAGCGACAGCACTGGATCTGCGTCCGGGAGGTGGGAGGCACCTACTACAACCTCGACTCCAAACTCAAGGTGCCCGAGTGGATTGGAGGTGAAAGTGAGCTCAGGTAGGATTTTTTTCTATCCTGTTCCTCCTCAAATCCTTCCCTATTGGAGGTGGGGAATCTGTCCTTAAACAGTTAGGGATTGAAACATTTATGTTTAAACTTCAATAGCAAAGATTTGAGAGGAATAAGGTTCTTGTACTTCCACTGAAATTTATACCCCATTTGCGCAAAGCTAGGAAAGCGCTTTTGGCAGTGGTGATCTCTGCAAGCTCAGGAGAGCCTGACTTCGCCTCTTACGTGGCTGGCTCTGTCACTAGTGATGAAGGTAGAGGCCAAGTCTGATATTAGTGAGTGGCACCCGCAAGATGTGCTGTGGCCCGCGTTCTCAAATGTGAGAGTATCAGCATTCCTTTGCGTCTCTAGTAGTGATCTGTGTGTATGTTCTCAACAAAAGGCTTTCCAGACTGGGAGTGCAGCCTTATCCCTGACAGCAGTGAAAGCTGCTTGCTAGGAAATCACTTGCCTACATAAGCATACGCTGCACTTCTGACTTGACTGCACTCTTCAGTCTTAATGCAAGATGGTTGGTGTAATTACTTTGACTGCGAAGTCTCACCTGCTCTTAGTTGCTGTTCGGCTTCCATTCCATCCTGTTCTAAAGCCTACTGGCAGCTTTGCTGCCTCACCTAGACTTGTTCTGAGGTAGGGGTTGCATATGAGCAGTATTTGCAGAGCCTACTGTGCCGTTAAAGTCTTGGTAAAGTGAATGTCTGCCTTTCGTGAACTTCTGGGATGAAGTAATGTAGTTCTGGATCTACTGTGTAGAGCTTCTGGTAGAGTTTATCCTGGGTGTGCTGTTCTTCAGCAATAAATAAGGGCTTCCTATATAGGCAATATTGGAAATCTGGGCCAAAATATATCAGAGAAAACACTGATTTGACTGTCACAGTTATTGGAGATAATCCAAGTTTGGTATTAGAAAAACCTTATGGGCAGAAAGGGGCTGCAGAACCATGTCAGATGACCAGGTGGTATGCTGCTGCTATGATCTGTGATAAAGACATCTAAATGATGGTGTGTTTTTTCCCACGAGTATTCCAGATTTGTTGGAATTATTTTAAAATATGGTGGGATTCTTGATCACAGAGATCTGAAGAAACTGAAATAGGGTTTAGTTCTGTTTTTGCCACCTTGGAAAATTGGGAAGTGACTTCTATATAGACTTGTCTCTGCTGAGGTTAAGATCACGTCTGAAACTGCAGTAACTTGCTGTGTAGAGGTGTGTTGAATCTGGTGGGGCAAGTGTAATGTTGGCAGTGGTTTTTTGTTGTCAGAAAATAACTTAAGACATTGTGTGGGGATTTCCTCCCATTTCTGGTCATGTTTGCATAGTTAGTTGCATTTAGTTGTTCTAGAAGATGAAGTTCTACATTCAGCAGCGCTTATTTCTGTTTCTCTTTGCCATAGGAAATTTTTGAAACACCAGCTGAGAGGAAAGAACTGTGAACTCCTGCTGGTGGTGCCAGAAGAGGTGGAAGCACACCAGAGCTGGAGAGCTGATGTGTGACCTGGACTGACTCTGTCCTCCCACTACAGCTCTTCCCCTTTTACTGAACTCCCGATGTCCTGAAACCTGGATAATGGGTGCCCCAACTCTTCTCGTCTGGAACTTCCTTTGTTAGGCTCTTCTCTCCTTCCTTGGTGCAATAGGGCAATGGTGTAGGACATTGGGTGTAGTGGGTGGGGAAGAATTGAGGGCAAAGTGGAGGAAACTGGAAGCCAATCACTTTAATTACGAAGGCGGATGAGCTGCATGCCCTTCAGCTAGCTAGAAGGCGTTGTGCTCTTTAAAACTGGGCTTTGGGGCTACGGTGTCTGGATGCCTCTGACCTCCCTTTCCCCACGTGGTTGAAGGTCGCGTGTGGTGGGACACTGCTTCCTCCAGGGCTTGTCACGGAAGAGCAGGGGCCAAGCACGCTGCTGTCTCTTCACAAGTCTCTCCCTCCAAAACAAGTTATTGTGAAGACATTTGCAATTCCTAAGGGTCTCTCAGGACACTCTCAAACACTAGGAATGGTACGGTGCTCAGCACGACCCTCTGCTTCTTAGGGATGGTTTGTGCCAGGAATGAGAAAACAATAATAAAACCAGTGTCATCTTTCAAGAAATTCTTTGGGTAGCTAGAGGATTCTTCCCCAGTGTCTCCAGGGGTTTATGTATGTGGTGAGCGGTTGTTCAGCAGCATGTGGCTGGCTAAGGCGACGTGGAAACAGCAAGCACAGGCTAATTGAGGAGTATCGCGTTTCTGGACTGGAGAGAGGCCGTAGCCTGCTTGGGTTTCTTTGCGCTACATTGGGGTTTGTTTTTTTTTCTTTCTTTTTTTAAAATCTATTTTGGTTTTCTGTATGGTCACCTAGTAGTTTAGGGGCTGCTGGGAGAGAGGAATAAAGCTGAAGGGGTTTTGAGAGGAATTCATTCTCTTTTATTTTCTTTTTTCCAGAAGTCTAGCCCACAGTTGCGAATGTCATGCAAAATGTCCTAGAAAGAGATAAAGTTACAAAGCAAAAGTTGTCTGAGGAGGGAAGTCTTTATAATAGTCAGGTTTTGCCCTTTTTATAGTTAATAGCTGATAATGTGGGAGATGCAGAGGGTCCACCAGAGCCTTCGGGTGTTAAGGAGACCCTGGCCTGGGAGTTGAACCAAGTTCTCTTTCAGCGTTGGCCAACAAACATTCCGTTAATGGATGAATCGCTTTTTCCTCCCCTCCCTTCCGTGGGGAAGAGTGACTAGATATGGAGACACTAAGAGGACTCTCCACCAGCTGTTTCCCAGTCACCTGGGCGAGCTGTAGCTCAGTCATGCCTTCCACAGCAGGAGGAAGAAATGCTGAATTTGGAAGATTTCATTGCGTTTAGCTCTTCCTGGCCGAGCTTCTGTTTGCTTCCCTCCTTTATGCATGGGATGTCTCAGTTAAACAGCAATCTCCGGGACGTGATGGATCTTGCCCCATCATGCAGCAAAGTCTCATTATTGGTGTTGGAGCTTGCAAAAGGAGAGGGATTTTGACTACCTTTTCTCAGTTATTTTTCTCTTGAGAGCTCCACAGAGCATCAGTGGGTGTTTGAAGCTGAGAGACCACCAAACTCACACCTTCCAAACGGAGAACATGACGGGGGGACAATGATGTTCACTGACTCCTGGACGTCTGGGCAAGCACCGTTTTGCAGTCTTTTGAGCACAGCCTCCTGCCATCAAGGGCAAATGGCTCTTAACGTTTTAAAGACCCAACGTTTCTATAAAAAGTCCTATTTCGTAATACATTCCAATGACCAATACCAGCTGGTAGAGTTTTTAAACACTTTACAGGCAGGATGCGCAGCCTGCAGGCGTTCTGCTTGTGACTTGAAGCCATTTCTTCAAGAGGGGAAGGGGGGGGGGTAGATAAATCTCAACAGCAACGTTTTCTATGCTGATTAAAGTCGCACTTTGGACAAAACCCTGTTTGCATGGAAACCGCAAGCCAACGGATCAGTGCACAATATGCAAAGATGTTTTAAAATATTTTGGGGCTACTTTCCTCTCCTTGTATGTCAGCACCTTTCCCGGGGTAGGGGGTGGGAGGGGAGGGGGGGGAACAGTGTGATCCAGCTGCTCAGGTAAAGGGAAAGTGTACGATCACACCCCTGGGGGAGGTGAGGCTGCTGTGCCCAAGGGTGGGTGAGCTGGTCCAGTCCCACCGCTGGGGAGCGGGGAAGCCCGTGTTTGTTTTCCTGCTTGTTTGGTTTTGTTAGAGCCTTGTCTTGGGTTTGTTTACAGAGATGTATTTTGTTTAACCAAATATGAAAAATGGAAAAAAAAAAAAAGTTTCCATATAAATGTCCTATCACTTCTGTATGTTCAGCTGAATTGTTCTGTAACAAAGTATGTAAAGGAAAAATAAATTTTTTTTTCTTTGGTTATAAAACTGCAACCTTTCTGGAAGTTAATAACCTCCGAAGTCAGTCACTGGTGCTGGGGTAGAATCCCCTGAGAACTCCCTTAAGCCATGCAGAGCTTGCTCAGCCACCTGAAGGTGACAAAGCCCTGTCCATCCCTTCCCCATGCATGAAACAGCAGGGTCTCTACCCACAAGGTCACTGACAGTTCTGAAAGGACTGAGCCTCCCTAAAGGACGTCTATTAAAACCACACTGCTCAGGTTGGATTTATTTAATATTTGATACAAAAAAATACGCAGCCGATATCTGGAAGTTCTACTTTATGAGGCAGAGGATCAGCATGGATGTGATCGTCTTGAGCCTGGCCTGCTGCTCCCTTGGTTCTCATGTGCGTCTCCACACACACACACACACACACGAAGTTGCAGTGAAGGTATTTTGGAGTTCGCATCTTCCCGGAGCGTGTTTACCATGGGGTACAGCTACCCCACACCCCTCCTTCCTTTCCTTCACCTGCTGGGAAAGTCACTCCTCCTCCTGTCACCGGTGTCCTTCAGCTCCCAGTCAGCCAGGAAAGGATTTGTTTTGTTTGACTGCCACCTTTTGAAGCCCCGGGGTGGTTTTGTGGGGGGGCAAGAAAAGGCTGGAAGAGGAACTCCCCCAGTTCAAGTCTGTAACCGGTTACGGCGTACTGATTGAATAAAAGGAAAGACTCACGACTTCTACAGGGGGGAGGATGCAGACAGGAGCCGTCATCAGGTCCAGAGGGGGGGCTTCCCCACCCTTGTTATGAATAGGTCAATGTCCCAAAGGAGAACCAAAAATAAAAACAAACAAACGGAAAAAAAAATGCCCTGACCCAACAAATCCAACAGTTCAATATATCATCATCTCAAGGTCTTCCCACATGATATGAATCCAGCGCAGCTCCCACAAATTAGATTTTTCCAGAGAGCGGAGGCAGGGCCCCTGGCATTCCCCCTGAGAGCCCCGTGTTGGGTCCGAGGAGGATCTGGAAGGAAAACAGTCAGTTGGGGGGTTGCGAGGACACAGGGCGGCTGCCCTGTGCTGCCCTCCCCTCCCGCAGCTACTCAGCAGGGCGCAATATTTTGCAGTATCGGTTCTTACCCTGCTATAATAACCAAGTTTAATACTCAGCCACACCAAATACAAACAGAGTGGGTGCAGACGTTGCAGCATTCAGCCTCTCTGCAGTCCTTGCTGCCTATTTTGACCCAGCAAAAGCCGGGTTGCATTTGCTGGAGTTTGCCGCCAGCTTGCTACTGGTAATAGGCAGGATTGTCCCATTAGAACATCCAGAGCATCTGGTGGGATGAACGAGGCCCCAACAAATAACAAATTGCACTCTGGCCCCTAAGCTCGTTCAGCAGCTGGTAATTGGGAGGAGGTGCAGGCACCCCAAGCCAGCTCTGAAGGGCCGTAGGAGAGGGCTGGGGTGTTCCCGCCTCACCTGTCGCTGCTGCAGCTGCTGCTGTTGCTCCATCTGCAGTTTTTCAGTTTCAAAGACAACAGGAAGAACCAGAATCATGAAGGAGGTGGTCCCAATCCACAGAGCTGCCCTGGAGAATCTAGAAAGGAGAAAGCACATTAGCAATAAGAAACGGTCCCTTAGCTGCTTCTTAAAGGCACTGGGCTTCTCCCGCGTTTCCTTTCTGCACCTCAGACAAAAGCCTTCCCCGAGTTCCACCCCCAAGCCCCGAGACAGCACCTTCTCCCCACTCTCCCCAGCC